TCATCCCTCCATTATCCATCTCTCCACTCATCCCTTCATTATCCATCTCTCCACTCAGCTATCCATTATCCATCTCTCCACTCCTGCCTCCTTTATCCATCTCTCCACTCATCCCTCCATTATACATCTCTCCACTCCTCCCTCTGTTATCCATCTCTCCACTCATCCCTCCATTATCCATCTCTCCACTCATCCCTCCATTAAACATCTCTCCACTCATCCCTCCATTATACATCTCTCCACTCCTCCGTCTGTTATCCATCTCTCCACTCATCCCTCCATAATCCATCTCTCCATTCCTTCCTACGTTACCCATCTCTCGCTGCAGATTTTCCTTCATCAAAGATTGGCTTAAAATAACTGTGTGTGTGTGTGTGTGTGTGTGTGTGTTTGTGTGTGTTTGTGTTAGTTTAGCCTGAGAGAAAGAGGGATGAAACAGAGACACGACGCCAACATCACCCCCTCCTGTCTAAGCGGATTAACCTTTCCCTGAGCTCTTTCCTCTCATGTCACTCGCTCACACACACACACACACACACACACACACACACAAACACACACACTAAGCTTAGTGAAAAAGGCTACAGCTGAAGAACAATCACAGGAAGAAAAAACATCTAGAATAAACTGCTGCAAAATGCCAGATGTTTTTTCTATTTTTCTTATATTAAATTCAATCTCTGTACACACTGTAACCATGACAACGCTCTTACCAGTTCTAGCTAGTATTGGCTAACTGACTAGCCTAGCTCACTGAGAAGGTTGCTTCATTGTAGATTTGGAGGCAGAAAATGGAGAGAAATTGTGCTGGATATCTTTATTTCCATTTCCACGCCGGAATATTGGTAATGAAATATTTTCCATTGAACATGTTATAAATCACCTCATATTCACTCACTTACAATACACACGCTTCACCAGCACTTTGTGCTCCATGTGTATTCTCCTCACAAGCTGCGACCTGATTGGTCAGGAGGTTAAGAAACACTTGATGTCACTCGGTGCTCTTCTGAAACATTTAACTTCTTTCAACATCTGGAAGCTGCATTGTGCTGCACTCTGACCAAAGACACATCTCCAGCAGCAGTTTTAGGATGATGTGTAAAATGTGAAAAAAAAGCGATGCCATGCTTACAAAATAATCAGCAAGTGAGAAAGCATTATTCGTTATGTAAGTAACTTTGGGGTGTGCAGTTACAGGAAAATAATCACTGATGGTGTTACTTTTACCATCCCAAAGTTCATTATTTTCCTATAGTAGCATGTCCCAGTGTCTTATTCCTCTTATTATAACACAGCAATTTACAAGGTTACAATTTTTATTTATTAAAAGTAAGTCATGGCATACTTTTTATCCATTTATAGTTAAATTTTATGTTCATGAAACAAGTTAGTTCCTGTTGTCACTTACGTTATAGCAGCTATAAACAGTCATTCTGTCACCAGCCTCTCTTTATTCTCTCTTTTAAAGTTAATGTTACTGAGAAACTTTCATCATATCAGCGATTGCAGACGTTTAAATCCGTTTACGTGGAGCGTCCGTGGTACGCGTCCCTGTGAATGAGCCGTTACTATAGAAACGATAACGTATCAGAACGAGCGCATTAATATAAAGCTGTGATTTGCAGCTGCACTACTGTCAGAGCTGCTGTTCTATTAATTAATCAACACCTTCTGACCAATCACAATCCAGAATTCAGCAGCACTGTGGGATAAAATAGAAAAAAAACATCTTTATCTTCTCTCGCTCCACTCGTCTGCATTTATACAGCACTTGATGAAATAACTGTAATTTCAGGAGCAGAGTGACAGAAACGTCACAGCCATCATGTATACATTCACTAACACATCACACACAAGCGCTGCATAAAGTTTTCATTCGTCTCTACACGTTAATCCATTAAACTGCTTTCCTGCTTCCTGAATGGATTAAACTACAGGAGCAGGGCTTCGGACATAAAGCTAAGAAAAAATACCATTGTTTAGAAAAATTTCTCAAGACGACTGACACTAAATGGAGCATAACAGCAATGTTATTTTTGCTAACGTACCAGAAAAAAATATTTTTTTAATAATTGTTTGACTAGTAGGCAGGTTGGAAAGTCGAGATACTACAACAGCTTATGTTTTATTTTCACATTTATATGATAATCTCAAAAATGCAAAAAATATACAGTAGATCTGATTTTATTTCATTTAAATAAATAAATAAATAAACACAGCCCCAGTGGACATGGTTTGGTTCCCTGACCGGGAATCGAACCCGGGCCGCGGCAGGAAAAGCATTGAGGTCTAACCACTAGTCCTCCAGCGACTCACAGTGTGATTATATGTATCTAATCCTGTCCAAATAAGGCAGGGGTGTCCAAGGTCCGGCCTCAGGGCCGATGCTAATGTTAACTGGCATACAGCTTGTGTTAGATCAGTGGCCCGCCGGTCAACATGTTTCTTTTTTTTCTTTCACCTGACAGTGGCAGCAGACTATGTTAACACAGTTAGCTAAATTGCAGGAGCCTTTTTTCTCGCATTAGACCTGCATATTAATTTACAGAATGATATTTAGTCAGGAGCGATTTCAAAAGATCTGGAAACAAGAACTCTCTTTCATCGAGAGACAGAGTAAATGCGTGTGCCTCGTATGTCCAGAGCTAACTCTGTATGTCTGTAGCTATAATTAAGGAATGTAATATGATGAAGCAAATCATGGACATTGCAATAAATATTCCGAGGATGAGAGAAGAGGAGGAGAGAAGAGGATGAGAGAAGAGGAGGAGAGGGCAGAGAGAGTGAAGCAGCTGGACGCTCTCCTGCAGAAGAAGCTTTTTATCAGAGCAAACAGAGAGCAGAACATTACTAGAGCTAACAGTTGGTGATGATTTCACCCATTAAACATGGAAACTTTTCTCCTTGAAAGAGTCTTTAACTAAAGCGGTTGATGTCATTTATCTGGAAAAGAA